ACGAATTCAGTGTGCCCATATACTGTATTTTGCTTTTAAGGAGTCATGCATGGGATTGTAGTATCTAATAATGCGATTTCTACGTTTTATAGACCGACTGCCATTTGATGGCATACAGTTCAATATAAATATACGTACAGTGATTGCCACTACTGCTGATCTCCAAGAATGACTCCAAAGACAGACCAGAAGGAGGACATAATGCAACAGCGATGGAGCAAGGACTGAAAAGGGCCATGAGAGAGAGACATGCGGATGTAGAGACAGAGGAGCAACAGGAAGAAGTGAGAGACGATAGGAGGGGTAAGGAAGAAATAAAGATAAAGGGCTGGAGGTGAAGAGGAGAGCGTGGAGAAGGCGGCAGACTGCTGGTGGATGGAGGTTGTTCACCTTCTACCAACTGTGCTCACCGTCATCTCCAGAATTGCTCACCCAGAGGAATATGGTTAAACATCTTTCTACTTCTGGCTATTTTACACATACAAAAAGACACACACTTCAACGTCGACACACACACACACAACCCACACTCAGCTTCCACACGTGTCTCGGTCACACACAAATCTATATGGACCCCCACACACTCATCCACCATATACTCACACACACCCACGACCTTGTCATTCCCTATGACATCCCCAGCTTCCATTACCTGCATACATTAACGAGCCTCTCTGATGTTAAAAATTATACATTTGAATAATTCAGATTATTTTAAAAGCTGTGCACTCATTCACTCACTTTTCCAGATGGAAAGAGAGCTATTTACCTCAAATCGCATTTGAATAAACCCCATAAATCCTCTCAAATTCCCTGAGATAAACCAATCAAATACCCCCAATGCTGGCTAACTGGCCAATCAAAATTAGCATTCATACTTGCAGCCTTTTTTATTCAAAAGACATCAAATAGCAAATCAAATTGGAGGGCCTATTTGTGAAGCTCAATTTGTGCGAGATAAGAAAAAGGTGGCTAATAGAGTGAGAGTGAGAGACAGAAAGGGGCACTGCAGCAGTGCTATAATGTAATTCCAAACCTAACAAAAATATTTGATGGAGTAAACAGCATGCCATTGGTTCATAAATGTGGTCGATGATTATATTTGTTCAACAAAAGAGAAATATAATTTATGTGACAAAATATACATTAGATGGCAGAAGGGTCTGGATGCCCAATTATTACAGAGATGAAACCTGCTTATCACACTTGCCAGTGAGTTTGTGTATCTGTTTGTGTGTGTGTGTGTGTGTGTGTGTGTGTGTGTGTGTGTGTGTGTGTGTGTGTGTGCGTGTGCGTGTGGATCTGAGAAACAATTCAAACACGGCCAACAAAAATCAGGAAGCTAGGTTGGCAAACTGTGTGTCTTGTTCATCATCATCAGTCCCCCTACATGTGCACTAAATATGTGTGTGTGTGTGTGTGTGTGGGGGCTTGTTTTTCTGTATTTTTGGGGCCCAAACGCCAGGGTTTCCACTATACTTGTGGGGTCCAACAGCTTTGTTTACAGTTAAACACTTGATTTTGACTGTATCCGCCATATAGAGCAGAGGACAGATAGCGAAACCTCGCCTCTCTCCTCTGTCATTACCCGTCTCTCTGTCTTATTCCAACTGCCCGTAAATCATGACAGGCGGCAACCTCTAGCTTCCTCTTTCTCTGTTTTGAAAACAACAACTAACCGTCTTTGACTCTCATGTTTCCTGCGTTTTAACAGATTAAACACACACACACACACACACACACACACAGCAACTATTCATATCTGACCTCCAGACTGAAATTCCTGCTTTATGTCGTACAACAACGGCTAACAAAAACCAAGTCTATTACAAGTTGGGATTAAAACATTTTTAATTAAAGACAGCACACTGGTGTTTAAATTACAGTTATGCGAATACACAACACAGTCATCCCAAAATATCAATACGCCTTACATTCTTCAAACCTCTCTCAAACAAGTGTAAAGGGCAGGTGTATCTTCACACTGCACTGTCACCCACATCTGACATTTATACAAACACACATTCACACACACACTCGCACACACACACCAAGGTTCAAGCAGCTGGTGAGTTTGCCCTTGACTGCCCACCCCTGGGCACCACAGTGGCATGGATGCAGCTGTTTTAAAGAGTTCTGGATTGGATTTGGAAAGCTGTGTCCTTGTCAAGGGTATAATCTTGTTTTTCATTACCCAGATATAAACTGAGGCTGTGCTGAGACCAACAATAGCACTGCTTCAACATTTCCAGGCCCCTTGTTCATGTCAATAAGACCACTGCATTGGCGGCGCAGTTGCTGCAAGCAGACAGCTCCAGCTAAATTAAGTTATATATATATAATAGATGGATATATAATTAAGTTGATCTTTGCTTTTGCTATAGCAAAGTCAAACATCGTACAGCATCGCAAATATCCATAAACGGTAGAATTGAAACTGCTGATTGGAATGTTTACATCTGTAAAGCCCCGAAACTACAACACCTTCAAAAGTGCTGAAAATCAAACCTGAAAGACAGACTCTTGGCAGAACGATAATGTGAATTTACTACTATAGCATCTGCCATTAAAAAGGCTGTTCACTAGCCGACTGTCTTTTAATTGTTTTCTTATTTTTTTAAGTAAGAGGTTCCTAAGCACTGGATTGCACCACAGCCCAACAAGTGTTGGCTATTTACAGATGGTTGAAACCAGCCTTTTAAAGGTTTAGTGTGTAAGATTTTGTGGCATCTAGCAGTGAGGTTGCGAATTGCAACCAACTGTCCAGTCTACCACTGCCACCTACCCTTTCAAAGAGCATAGGACGGCAACAGTGGCTGACACAGCACAAAAGGAGAGTAGCCAGTCAAATTAGGTTTCTTTAGGTATATTTATTAAGAAATTATATTTACTTAATTATTCAGTAAAACCATATGTTATTGCGACCTGGCCACAGACCGATAACATGGAAAATGTAAGCCAAGAGTGTGAAACATTGTCACTGTTTCTGCACCACACCATTATAAACTACATAGTAGATGAAAGTTATACAAACACTGACAAGGGAAACATGTTTATTCTCTCTGTGATTATGGACCCTCAACAAAACTGCCCACCATCAATAATATCTGGCCAGATATTTTTGCTTAGATAGCAGCAAAAATAATATAAATAAAAAAATAATTGATAGCGGTGCTGAAAGAGCTCTCAGTCATGACAGCGACAGTTACTCACATCCTCTTTAGTGGTTTTGCGTGCAAAATAAAAGCGTGAGAAGCTTGTTTGCTGTAATGATTTACTTGGAGTTGAATTGAGAGCTTTTACTTTGAAAAATTCTGAACAACATTAAAAGAGTGTGTTGCCTACTTGACACGGCTCTGAAAGAGCAGTCAGAAAATGTGATTTCCCTAAATGTCCTCTGCGTGGAGTTACTGAGGAATTGCAAAAGCGTCCGCAGGTTGATGGATGTGCATCAAACAACAAAACACAAACAATGCAGCACATGCCATAATGTGAGCCTGAAAAACAGTTTGTGCAGAATCCATTTGTTGAAAGAGAAAAAAAAATTGCCCCACGGTGGGATCGAACACAAAATCTTCGAGATGAGAGTCCAGCAATTTACCAACTGAGCTAACTGAACACCATAGAAATTCTTACTAATATTATGGCTTATATTCTCACCCACCATCTAAAGGTTGTAAAAATTTGCAGACCCCTGCAGTATATTAGTACTTCTTTTTCTTTGAACGTACATATTCAACATAGTGATGAGTGTCTACACTGCCTGAATTCTACAAGAAGTTGAACAAGTAGAACTAGTGACGAAACGCGCTCTGTAGCACTGTTGGTCCGTCTTCAGCTACTGTAGAAACATGACGGCGTCCATGAAAGGGGGGACCCACGGTTATGTAGATACAAATGACTCATTCTAAGGTAACAGAACAGTTTATTATGTAATGTCTTTATACACCACTGAAAACATAGTTGTGGATCTTATATTGCATTTCGGTCAATAGATCCTCAGAAATATTATACACTGGACCTTTAATCAAAAATGAAGCCAAAAGCTTAGTAGCACCTTGAGTAACAACATTTTCGGAAGAATAGAGAGGGAGGCAATGCGATAAATACTGAATGTGAGTATCACTTTTGTTTCTCTTTTTGCTTTTCTTTTAATTTGAAAAGTGTTTTAAGTGTTTACATTTTAGTCAGTTCACTAATGAGTACATTCGTTTTTTAGAGTAAGAATGAACTCTAACTCATCTGTCAAGATAAAATAAAAGGTTTGTATAAACGTTTGTCTCTGACAACTCTCAGAAATGAGATCTTTGTATGCTTACACTGAACGAACAAGCTGCACATTTGATCGGGATTTAAAAGACATTCAGGTTGAACAACATTTAAATTATGTGTGTGAGCAATGAAATGTTAATAGGATGTGACAATTGACCTTAGCTTGTTGCACAGTACTCCGGGCATGAAGACCCCAAACGCAGCATTTGACAGAAATGAGGCTAGAAGGTCTGTAATCCAGCGGGGAGAAGAGGAGGGGAGATAATGTAAGTGAGCTGCAAAGAAAATGAACACGGGTCTGAATTCCATTGCATATGCTTATTTGGCTCAAAGTGAGATTTGTGTTGTCAACTTGTAGACTTGCCCTTCATTGACCCGCCTGGGGCTCTAATAGAGACATGCCCTGCTGTGCGATTGGGGATTCTTAGTGTCTGCGCTTAAGGAACAGATGCCACACCACAACAGCTGTTCATCGGGCATCAAATTCTCCAAGAAGGTGGTTATCCAATATCAGCACCTTCTATTATCCAACAGTGGCACATCCAGTTCCACGGCATATAAGTCAAGTATATTAATCAGTGTATTTGTCGGACATTCAATGACCCTTATTGCCATTTAAGTTCCTTTTTTTAAAAATATTTTAAAATGATGCAGTATACACACACCACAATTCAACACCATGTTGTGATTGTGTGTGTGTGTGTGTCTGAGACAGATAATGTACTCACCCTGGAAAGACTGCCTGGCTCTCTCCACTAGCTCCGCGACAGGATAGCTGGCCAAGTCTCCTCTGGCATGCTTAGTCTTACAGTAGGTACATGCGTTCAGACACCTTGACAGACAGAAATAGACAAATAGAGAGGCAGTGAAAGAAAGAAAAAGGGATGGATGATGAAAAGAGCAGTAGTCTTCAAACATCATCTTAGGGTTCAACGCCACAGATTTAAAATGTTATAAAACTGAGCACAGGAGTATGGACACTTTTTGTATTGCATTATATCTTGCACATTAAGGCTTTTAAACAAGCTCCTACTATATAATATAATAAAGTTTCTTCATAATTTCTTCGTATTTGTTTCTTGTCCTATACTTGGCTTACATTCCATTGGGCAACACATTTATTTACTTGTTATGACAGATGTATTTTTTATAAAACTACAGTTGTGAATCATTACAACACAACATCTCAAAATTGACCAATACAGGAATTAACAAATGTGGAAATAGGAGGCACTGAGGAGAACATGATGAGTGTACAGATAAATAAACAAGACTTTTCAGTGTTTTAATGAAATCTATTCATGCACATTTCATAACAGAGCAAACGCAGGAGAAGAAAGCAGGGAGCCAAAACTGCCCTTTGTCTCCTAAACTGTTTATAAGGACTCCAGCTAGCTCCAAAATAACTGGACAGCTGTCTCTCATACAGAGGGCAAGCAGTAGGAAGATTAGACTCAAAAGAGTTTTGTTTTACATAGAAGATTAATTCAAATTGATCATGAAAAGAGAGAATAAGAATATAAAGCAGAAAAATTTAAATAAGAAACAAAATACACAAGAGGAAAAAAAAAAGTGAAATACTGCCTCACACCAGATCCAAAAGCATGGCATGGTATCAACTCTAGGGGAGTCTTTGTTTAGAATGAAGGGCGCTTTTCTTTCCAGAGTTGTCTGTAAATCACTACTGAAAAGAAGGAGGAAGGCCACTGCTAAAAGCATTTTTTGTATGTACTCCATTAGGGTTTCATTTCTGACCTCCCGATTTGTCAAACTGGAATATAAATACACAGTTGTTTCTTTAAAATCACTACTTCACTGTTGGCTTAAATTTCTGGCAACTCCTCCAGTTAGTTCTAGGAACATGCTGCAAACACGAGTCAAACACCTTAATTACTTAAATGTTTGTGGGGATGAAAATATTGAAAAGGAACAAGACCATGCTATTCTCTCTTTTTTAAAATCATTTTTTTTACCCATTGCCACATGTGTTCTTGTACCTTTAAGATCTGGGGGTTCAGTTTCCTCTATATCTCAGTTGAGAATGAATGTAACATTGCAACATTTAAAGATCAATTCCTAATAGAGCCACACTAACAGAAATGTAAAGAACAAAAAACAGCCCACATGTAAAAAACAACATGTAGAATACAACGGCAAATGCTTTTTTCACTAAACTAACTAAGCTGTGACTAATATTGGACCACAGTCCAGCTAGTCATGAAGGAAACAACATGACCATCTACTAACAGCAGTGCTAATGCAAGCTTTTGACACAGTATTAAGATCAAAAGCCCCAGTTGCTCTTTTATAAAAACCTAAGAATTTTAAAACTGGTTTGGTGTGGGATTTATACACTACAGGGCAACAACAAAAACATCTTACTAATGATTAACAACCATCAAATGCTGTGATGTAAGGCAGCTAGTATAGAGTAGCAGCTAGTAGACACTATGAAATAAGAGTGCTGTAGATAACAAGCATAAACCCTGTATCTGTACGTGACAGACTCATGGGATTTCCCAGAAGCTCGACATAAACAGGCTAAACACCACAGACTCCTGCTGGACCGAAGATACAATTGATGCCATGTCGATTCCACTTCATTCTAAAAGAGCACTTTGCCAAATTGTAGCCATTTTTTCTAATTACTAGTCATAGCACGATGCCTGTAACATTGACAGATCTCTCGAAGTAGTGGAGAGACTCAGTGTATTCTCATAGTTTCCACTAAGTACTGACTAAAGTCTTGAAGCAGCTCTGATGAATAGGGAGAGACATTGTGGATCGAGTTAAGAAAGGCATTTCAGAGAAAATGACTGAATGTGCATAGAAGTTCAGTTCACAGACTGTTATAAATTCCACGTGAGAAAAGGATGTTAAAGTTTCATTTAAAATGTATTTATCAGGGGAAATGTTACTTGAGACTGCATGCTCTAATACTGTGGGTTCGCATTCGGACAGTTCTACGACTTATTACTACTGCTGGTTACTGAGCAGATCAGCTACAGTAGACCTGACAAAAAAGCAATGAGGTACTCAAGATACATATTTATTAAATAAATTATTAAAAGAAGTCATGCTGTTAGTGATTAGTGTCTTTTAATGCATTTATTAGACTGTGAAGACCTTCAAAAGAGTCCCCTGAAAAGCCAATAACATCTTTATAATAATTCTGAAATACAACCAAAACGCCTGGAGCATTTTTTTAATGTCACCATGGTAAAGACAGAAAAGCAAAAAGAGAATACAGCTATCTATCCATCCATCTCTCCCTCTCAGAGTATTGCTTATCCTAGCTGAGGGCACTAAAGATGGCAGCTAGGTCACAGGACCTAGCTGTGGAGAAAACACAGACAGATGGGGTCCCACACATACACACACACACACACACACACCCCCACCCCACCAGGGGGTCCATCCATCTTAATGTGATCAGGCCCAGCTGAATGGATCCCACCAACATTAATCTCAAGAGACAGTCAGTGGCCTGCTAGGGTGTGTGTTTGCATCATTTGTGTGTATGTGTGTTCACGTGCCTGTGTGAGTGTGCTGCCTCTGAACATTTGTCCAGTATCACAACAACGCATTAGCAGTTTCGACCTCTCCATCAGCCTAAACAGACTGCGACAACTAGTCGGCACCCTTAAGACTGACAGCGACTGAAGAAGAGGAGCAGCGTCACTCTCTCTGACACACACACATACACACATTTACTCTATATTCAATTTGTACTGGGCGGAGTTTTTTGATTCTGAATGTTTTCCTGAAGAGAAGACGTCTCTGTTCATGAAAATTAACCAAGCAGCAACATAAACAGCACTCCAGTTGTGTAAGGTAGAACTACTTCTAGAATTACAACTAAATATTTTTCCTCCTTATCAAGACCTCCATCCTTTTCTTCCTTTGTTTCTGTCTTCTCCCCATTCTGTTTCATCCTGGTTAATTAAACCACAGAGGTAGCTGCCGTACCTGACAACAGTGCAGTTCATCAATGTGTTACAATGAGAGAAGCTACCTCCCGTGTGCGTGCGTGTGTGTGTGTGTCATGCACGAGAGACAGACTATCGTGTGGTTGCAGCCTTGAAAAGGTAACAAAGAAAGGAAAGCCCTGAGGTTCCTCTATACATTTGTAAACCTCACTCGACACACACACACACACACACACACACACACACACAAATACAGTATAGTTTTCCTATCTGTAGCATTTTAAAGATACAGACTGGAGTGCTGAGCAGGAAAAGGTTTTCTCAATGACAAGCATTTAGAGTCTACACATTAATTAGAAAACTGCCGTAGGCACAAACAAATTGGGCCATGTGTGCATTTACTTGTGAGTGTGTATGTGTGTGTTCATGGGGGTTTGAATTGTGCGGGCTTGAAGATGCAATTATGAAAACAAAGCTTAAACTGTGAGGGGAAGTCTGAGTACTTTGTCAGTTCTAAAGCAAGATTATTCATTGCACTTAACTGTTGAGACTGGGAGAGGGGCGGAGTGGGTATAGGAGCAAACAAAATCTCAAAACTGCTATTATATGACTGAACAAAGCCTCAAGCCTGTAAGTTTACAGTTAATGTCGTCTCAAAGTCAAAGTGGAGGCTGCAAGATAATGCGGAGTCAAGGAACAAAGGATGCTGGCACAATGGAGTAAAGACCTATTAGGAGAAATGAATTGAGGATGATTAGTTATTCAGAGAAAGGTTGGCAGTTAAACCATATTTACCCTTGATACGCTGTCATGAGTAAGAGATGGTTGCATTCAACTTACAGTACATGGGAACTTTGCATGCACACCAACGGTCTTGTGTGACTCAGATAAAGACAATACTCTTTATACACCATATCTTATTTTGGGACTTAAACACTATCAGGACGTTGTTGTGGAGTTTATCCTTCTTGGCTCACTGTTATGGAAAAAAAACATGGTTATTAAGAAAATACATTGTTGCCTCAATTTTAAAAAACCCCAAAAGAGTTAAAGTGTTTGAAGAACCTGATCAAACACTTTATTGATAATGTCAAACAATACGAGTACAATTTTCAGTTGCTTTTTTTTTGCAATGCCCCATTGACCGGTGAGCAGTCCATTAAGACTACAAAACAAAGGGGTTTATACTTGAGTGTCTGAAGCTGTTTTACAGTCATGGACTTGTTTTCCATTCTGCTAATAAGTAGCTCTGACCATACTGAGAAAGAAATAAACACAAAGTTCTCTCACCATTATTTCACATAATATTGTTTTTGCATTTTATGTGTGTGTTTGGTATGCGTGCGCCTGTGTGTGTCTCTCTCGCCTATACACAGCTGGGGCCCATTCCTCTCAGTGTTCAGACTGTGTGTCTGACCTCTTGAATTCAGTTACTTAGTCTCGTGTTCCTATCGCTGCACACTGAAACAGCTCTCAGCTCTTTGTGTGTATGCATTTTAGAAAATGTGTCACATGCTGACCTTGGATTTCTGCAACTACTACAGTAGCCTCGCTTGTTGTTTTGACTGGAGGGAGACAGCACGTGTATCTGTGTGACAGCATGTGCAAGTGTGAGAAAACACAACCCTAAGTCTACATAGAAATTGTGTTTTCCCAGCTTCTTGTTTTGTCTATAGACAGACCTCGAGACAGTGTTTGTACTAGATCAGTCGGTCCATTGTTACTGGACAAGAATTGCACGGTGTTTGTTTATTATGAACCACCACACATACTGCTAAAGTCAAGTGGTACAAGATCTGATTTGAAGCTAGACTTGCAGGCTGGTTGATTATCTTACCTGTTGCCTTCCTGCCTTACTGACTACTTCACTATGTAACTGACTGACTTATTAAAGGTGGAGAAA